TCCTGCTGCATCTGCTTAAGCTCTGAGTGTTGCTGGGACCATGCATCCACTTCCTGACCCTGTCTGTGCACGGCCCTGCGTCTAGCCCCGGTGCAGCCTGCCTCCCTGCCCGAGGCCCCCAGGGCTGTTTTGCAGCAGGGTGAGATCTGTTTGAGGCCACCCTGCCCTTCTTCTGCAGGGCTGGGGCAAAGGGGCTCTGCAGGCCGCCTCAGCCACCCCGTTTCTAGGGTGGCCTGCTTGTGGTGGACTAGCAGCCTTTCTATGCTAAAGGTAGTGGGGGTCTTTTCAGTGTTGTTCTATTTTCTTTCCTATGAAACGGAGCCCCTCCAGGGCAGGCCCAGGCCCCTCCCAGCCTGTCTGGGCCACAGATACCTGCAGCTGTGGCCAGTTCCCAGGTTTTTGAGGACACCCGCTCCAGCAGCCCTGAGCACACCTGCATCTTCAGTCTCAGTTTGAGGGGCTGGAATGGGGAGGGAAGATGATTTGGAAGGATTTGGGGAGAGAAGAGATATACAAGCCGGGGCTGTCTGGGTTTGGCCCAGGTGCGTGCCCCCTTCACCACTCCACTCTGTAGATTCTCTGTGGCAGAGGATGCGATTGCAGGCCCCACGGAAGTGCGGAGGGTGGAGCTGATGCCGGCTCTGAGTTGGGAAACAGGCATGCTTGTGGGTTCATAGTCCTGGGAGAGGCTTAGCAAGGGAACAGGACCAGGCCTGGGGCTCAGAGAGGCAAGAGGAGGGATGGCCTGGGCAGAGGTGGGCTGGGAAGGGGGCAGGGAGGAGGCTGCAGGCAGCGGGGGGTGGCCCTGTGCTGATTGGAAGCTAGCAGTGAGCATCAGGTGGGGGCTGAAGCTTGTCTTAGGGATGGGCAAGAAGAGCACTGGTCCTTTCTTTCCAGCTTCTGAAGAGGTAAGAACTCCCCAGGAGCAGGAGCAGTGGAGGGGGAGAACCACCCAAGGAAACAGTGCCTCGACTGGCAGGGCAGAGGTACAGAGGCAGGACCAGAGGCTTGGCAATAGGGAGACGGTAGGGAAGCTGGTGCCGCTGGCAGAAGAGGAGCAAGTAGGGGGCATACTTTTAAGAGATGCCTGATTAAACCTGGGTTTGAGTTATTTTTCTGTCCCTTACTAGCTAGTGTAGTTCTGGTTACTTAAGCACTCCAGGCCTCAGTTTTGTCGTCTATGAAATGGGAACAGTAGTGCAGTCCTTGACACACAGGAGCTTCTCAAGCAGAAGGAATGAGAGGTACAGGGCAGCAGCACCAGGAGCTCTGCTTCATGGCCATAGGTGGACATGCAGGTGCAGGACAGGGGAAGTGTGGGACAGATGAAGTTTCTAGCCTGGACTGTGAGGGGCCTGACAGCCTCCCTCCCAGGAGCCCCTCCACCTGCCCTGGTCCTTCCAACTGGCCTGTAGGCAAGCTGGGGCATGCAGGGAAGGCCCTCTCTGGGGCCCGAGGATTTGCTGGAGAGCACTGTGGGTACTTGAGGTTGGTGGGGGGGCAGGGGTTGCCAGGGCACCCACAAGGAGTTCAGGAGCGTGCCTTAGGAGGGAAATTGGTATTTGGGCTGACTAAGGGGAGGAGCTGGACAGCAGAAGGTTCCAGGCCCAGCAAAAGCTGCTGGGATCAAGGTGAGAGAATAAGCACCAGGTGGGAACAGGTAGTACCCAGACCCCATAAACAATTCCTGCTGGGTCCTCAGCCTCCCTTGGAATACAGAGGGTGGGCTGGTTCTGCCACGCATTGCAGTTGGAGGAGACTTCTCAGGTGAGGTGAGGACTGTTGCTGCACTCACAGACACGTGACAGGCCTTTCTGTGTTGCCTCCCCAGGATGACCCCTCCGGCGAAGGTGTCCTGCCCTCAACCCGCGGCCCAGCCGCCTTCCTCCCCTTCCTCACTGTGGACCTGCCCGTCTACGTCCTCCAGGTCTGGATGGCTTACTGCCCTTTGTTTTTCTTATTGAGACTCACAGAGCCTTCGACTTCCGGAAGGCTGGCTTCACAGCTGAGGCTGGTCACTGAGGCCGCGTGGCTTGGGAGGCTCAGCGGGTTGGTTGCCAGGATGTCTTGCTGCCTTCTGGAGAAGGTGGGTGAGTGGAGCTCAGATCTGCAGGAGACTGCAGCTCCTGCTGGTAAACAAAGCAGGAGAAGTTAATATGCTCTTGAAAGTGCTGTGCCTAGGAATTCCAGTTACTGCTCTGGGAAGAGGGCTGGCCAGGGCCCAGCCTGTGGGAGAATAGACTCGGATGAATTCAGTAGTTTGCTTACATGGTTAAGCTAAGGATGGGTGGCGGTGAATGATTCAGAGTTTGATATGAAATACCGAAAGTGTATAGCTTACCACATTTCTAACAATTTGCCTTACATATTTATATATTTACAATAAGCCATGCAAATTGTGTTTTAGTTTTTTTGCAAATTGGGCTACTCAGCATTTTCCTTGCAATGAGAACCAAACTTGGACAGAAGCACTGGTGGGAGCAGAGGGCCGGGCACCCGGGCTGCAGAGGCGTGAACTGGAGGGCGGTTTGGCAGCATGGATCAGAGAACTTCAGAAGTGTCTGCTCCATGTGCCTGGCAGCCCCCTCCTGGGACTGCTCCTGAAAAAAAAAAGTTGTGGAATAATCACCGTAGCCCGGAGTCGAATGGTGCAGCAGCAGAAACACTTCTAACATGAGGAGACAGGCTAGATGGGGCTTCCATAGCCCTGGGCCACATGCCGGTCAGCTGTGAGGGCGCAGGCAGACACCTAATACCTGGGAGAGTGCCTTAGGAGGGACCTCATGAGAAGTGGGGAGAAAGGGTTGCAGAAGTAAAGATGATTTTGTTTCTGTAAAAAGGCATGCGGGTGTGTGAACATGTGAGCTATACGTCAGTGTGCAGACAGAACAATCTTGAAAAATTTACAATACAGTACTGAGTTCATTTTTCCATCAAAGAACATGTGTTTAGAATAAGGGGAGCCTGTAGTTTTAATTAAGAGAAGTCAGGTATCTCACCACAAGCCCGGTCAGTTGCCTGCTGTGTGGAGCCACAGGATCCCTCTGCTTCCCCTCCCTCCTCCCTCCTCATGACAATGCTTGGTTTTGCAGGAGGTGCTCCCCTCATCTGGAGGCCGTTCTGGACCGGAGGCCACCCAGTTCCCAGGAAGCACTATCAACCTGCAGGACCTGCAGTGATGGCAGCCTCGGCCTGGGCAGGCCCAAGGCCACGGTCTAGGACTCACCTTCCCTGAGAGTCAGATGACATGAGCCTGGGGAGACCTCATTTGGTTTCCATTCAGAAGACCAGCATAGCCCTTTTGAGACTTTTGGGTACATTTACCAAAAATGTTTTCCTTTTGTTTTACCAGGAACGAGTTCGAGCTGTACTCTTTGAAACTGCCTTTGTGAGCAAAGTGCTTTGGCAAGACAAGGGTCTCCCTCAGTAGGGCTGGGTGCACAACAGCCCCTTTCCCCGTGTCCCATTGATCTGAGCTGTGTAGCACTTGTTGCATTACAAGGAAAAAGACTTCTGCAGGAAATAGGGTAGAGAACAGGCTCTCTAGTCAGATGCAACTTGATCTGTGGCAAAACCAAGTGGGGTCTTTCAGCTTCAGTGTGTGAGCATCCCAGCATCTGGGATGGGGTTTGTGGGAAAGTTGGTTTTGCCACACTGTAGGACCCAGGAGATCCCATTGCCACAGTGAAGCCAAATTCTAGCCCAAGTCTGGCAGAGCAGTTGGGCAGCTAGTTTTTTGGGGAGAATGATGTGGTGGGACAGAGGACCTCAGTGGCCTATTACAGAGCCCTCTTCCCAGACTAAACTCATAGCTGAGAGCTTGCGGGTATAGTAGAGTTAAAATTTTAAGTAATTTTCTAAATTCTGTATTTGGGTATTAATGTCTAAATGGTAATTTGACAATAGTTTATAAAGTGATGTTTTGAATACCATAAATTTCGTGTAGGACTGTGATGGTGCATTTATGTTTTATTATTGAGGTTGATGTGCACATAATACGTCAATGTATGTTCTTATAGAGTGAGGTCTGTCTTGCAAAAGGAGACAACATGATCACCTTGCCCTTGTTTATTTGTAAGTCTGTTAACTTAGCAATGACACAGGGTCACTCCTAAACGATTTTTTTTTTTTTTTTTTTTTTTTGCCTTGTGCCTTTTGAAGTGTGTGTCGTTCAGAGGCTGTTTTGGTTCCCAGACTGAATCATTCAAACTGCCGTGTTTGTTTCTTGAATTTGGGGGTGACACCAAGTTTGAGTGAGTCCTCCCTCTGTCTTGTCCCACTCCGAGGTGCTGTCCCCAGGTGCTGTTCCACATGGAGGAATCCACACCCCATCAGCAAATGGGTCTTCTCCACAGACCACCGCTCTGTCACCAGCCAAAGCCAAGGAGAGAACTTGCCCACCTGGGAGACTCTTCAGCCCCAAGGTGGCCCAGAGTCCTCCTCCTCCATGGGAGGCTTTTGGCCACTATGGGGGGTGGAGCTGCACCCACCCCGTCTCTATCGGGGAGCAGAGTCTGCCCCCAGGAATGCCCTCTCGGCCTCTACTTTTCTCCCATGTGCCTCCCTGGGAACGCCACCATGAAGTGGCTGGGACTGGCACCCAGCATTCTGGACACTGAGGTTCCCTGCCGGTGACGGGCCCAACTCCTAGTGCAAATGAATGAAAGTTTGCCTCTAGTCATGCACCGAAGGTTTTTCACCTTGGCTTAATTCGAGTAGCTGCATATATGGCATTCAGCCCGTTGTTTCTCCTTTAGTTGGTAGTGACGGCCCTGCCATATACCCAGCTGCCTGCTTGCATTTCTTTGGTCTTTGCACAGAGGCTGATCTCACACTACACTCAGCGTGGAATTAGCTTTTGTCTCGTAGAGCAGCTGTTTTAGATGAGAACCAAGGTGTCATGCTCTTGCCCTCAAGCATCTGCTTAGGGTTAGATGATGAACCGGGGGGATGCTGAGATTTGGCAATGGTGGCTGCGTCCTTAAACAGGCTTTCAAGACTCCAGAAAGACATGAATTTATTCAGGTGAGGAAGGGAGCACACGGGAGGCAGAGAAGACTCAGTTGGGCCCTTCAAGACCCAGCCCAGACTCTGCCAACATCTTTGCTAAGCCTTCAGCTAGAACAGCTATGGTCTGCGAAGATTACGTAAAGAAAAATAGCAGCTCCTCCTTCTCCTTGTCCATCAGTGTGTGCTCAGACTCTTGTTTGATCCTGTGGACTGGGGGTTGTGAGCGGCATACCAATGTCCTGCCTCTCTGCAGGGGAAACAAACCCAGTGAGCCATATGCCCGTGTACCCCTGCCCCTGGCGCAGGGAGAGGCCCAGCAGCTCCAGTCAGCTCCAGCCCACTCTGGTCAGCCCTGCAGGCTGAGGGCTGGAGTTAACTCTGAAATAACTGGGAATGTGAGTCTGCCTGGCATTTATCAAGTCTGGTCCCTGGATCACCACCTCTTAAATGTGGGAGCAGGGGGACCTGCTTCCTGTTGCCAGGGTCAGAAGGCAGGAAGGGCGGAGGCCTTGGGACACAGCAGTAGGGGGACCCCAGTGACAGGCAGTGAGCAGGGCTTGGGGTCTGGCTGGAGTGTGGGTAGGGTGGTGGGACCCTGTTCCTGAGCAGAGTGTACCTGGCTGGGGTGGGTGGGCATGGCTGAACCAGTCTCAGCCTGGCATGGGCCATGAGCTGGCAGCCTGGGGAAGAGCCCCCTGCAGGAAGCAGGTCCTGGGAGAGCCTTGCTCTGAAGGCAGGCTGTCTCCCTCAGAGCCTCAGTGAATGCCTTCAGAGTGGGGGCATCGGGGGCTTGGGCTGCAGGACCTCAGCTGCCATGCTGTCTTGGGACCCCCTCCAGCAGAGACCCCCGGGGCGACCCTGCCTACCTTCTTCTTGATCTCAGCCTGGGCGCGCGCCCGGGCCCGCTGCAGACGCTCCTCCTGTAGGATCTTTTGCATCTGGAGCTTCTCTTCTCGAAGTCTGGGCAGCAAGAAATGAAGTTGAAAACTGGGGGGACCTGGGAGTTGTTGTGTAATCTCTACACGGAGTCCCCAGGCCAGGCCGTGTCCTCCCTCAAGAAAATTCCCAGCTCCTCTTCACCTCTTTTGCCAGGTCAAGGCCTCAATACCTATCCACAGCCAAAGCACCACTGCTTCTGGCCAAGGTGGCCTAGGCCCACAGGAAGACAGCCAGGGCCCTGCTGTTCCAAGGCCCTGTCTCTGGCCTCCTGCAAGGGCTGATCCAAGGTTCATCCAGCAGACCTCTCCCAGAGGCACATTTCCCTGAATCTACACCCATGGCCTGATCTGTGCACCTGTGGCCTCTCTTGCCACTGTGAAGGTCCAGCATCCCCCTGGAGCAAGAGTCCTGTCTCCGTCTTGTGTATACTCTCAGTCATCAAAGCCTGGTCTGGTACCCACTCCGAGCAGGGCACCAGGGACCCAGAGGAGAAGCCCCTGTGCTTGTGGGGGACGGATGGATGTTTGCAGATTGTGCTATCTCAGGGCCCTGCACGGGGTGGATGAACCGGGCTGCCCACAGGCCAGGGAAGCCATGACCCCCATCTACCTTGGGTCCAGGCTGGTGTCCTGACAGATGACAAGCTGCCGCCCATCTGCCCCCCTGCACTCCCCTCCAAGCTGAAACTCCCAAGGCTCTCTGAGCCTCTGCACTTCGTCTTCTGCTCCAGCAACACTGCTGCAGCCATGCCTTCCCTCTCGGGTGCTGGCAGCTGCCCTTGCCCTCAGCCTCCAGCCCCTCCAGTCCAGCCCCAGAGGGAAGAATCTAACCACGCCCTACCTGGCCATGTTTGCCCCACTGCTTAAAGCCCTCCACTGCTATTCCATGTCTTTGAGGCTGGCCATGATAGCCGCACTCTAACTGAGCTCCACCTCTTCTGTCTTCTGGACCTTGTCCCTCCCTGAGCCTCCTGGCCACATTGAGTCACTGTCCTTTGCTCTAGGGAGCTTTCCCTAACCACCCCCTAGTTGAGTGTGATACCCCTCTAGATCCCCCCAAGACCTGGGCTTTTGTCTCATAGCATGGAGCATGAGGGGCCTGTCTCCTGGGAGCGCTTTGAGGGCAGGGCCTATACATGCCCTCTGCCCTCAGGGCCAGTCCGGACACAGCAGCTGGCAGGGAGGGCCTAGAGCTCACCTGATGCGCCGCTCCTTCTCCTTTGCCCTCTCGGCCTGCTCAATCTTGACCTGGGGCACGCGCTCCAGGTTCTCTAGCAGCTCATCCAGCTGGTGCTCAATGATGGTCAGCATCTGCACGGTGCCCAGGTTGGCCTCCTGCTGGGTGCCGATGCAGTTCCGGTACACATCCAGCACCTTCCAGTTCAGGCTTTCTAGCAGCTTATCCTGTGGAGGCGGCGGCTTCCAGCAGAGTGCTGGCAGGCCGAAACCCACCCCCATGCTAGTGCCTTCAGCGGTGGCCTGCTGACCTCCCAGGGTGGGGGCCACCGCTTGGCACACACTGGGAGCTCTGAGAACATAGGCTGAAACAGAACTTGGGAATCTGGCTTGTCTTGGCCAGAGCAGCCTATCCCCTGGGCCCCCTGGAGTCAGCCAGATCCCTGGTTCCAGCCCCTCCCCTAGTTGCCTTTGGTACACCAACAGGGCCCAGTCCCCTCCTCCAGGGAGCCCTGTACCCTGAGCACCCCACAGAGCTATGTCTTCTCTGAGATTGTTCTGACACTTAGAAAACAGATAACAGCGCCTCCACGTGGGCTGTATGAGGAGAGAGGAGCAGCAGGCAGGCAGCTCAGCCCAGCCTGGGCACAGCTAGTGCCCGTGGACTCTGGCTGTATCAGGGGAGTGCTGTGTTGCTCATGGCTGTATCCCATACCCTTGGCCCAGTGCCTGGCACACAGCAGGCACTTGACAGTAGGAAGCCGCCCCATGCCCAGGGTGGCCCCAGGTGTGCCGTCAGGTTGGGAGCAGGCTGAGCCCTTGGCTGGGTCCTGGCTTCTGCTCAGAACACCACTGGCTTTCTCTTGTCTCCGAATTCTCTCACCCTCTCAGACTGGCTTGGGGACTCGCCTCTTCCCCGCCTTCAGGATCACCTTGCCAGACACAATTTATGTGTTTAAGAAGTAGACACATTTGTTGAATAAAAGAATGAAGCAATGAATGAGGCATGGGGGCAACCAAGCTGGCTGGCACAGGCATCGATACATGTGGTGGCTCCTGGAGGCAGGCAGGGCAAGGGCAGCTGCAGGGCACTTACCCAGGCCTTGCCCTCCATCTTCCCAGGGCCTGTCAGGGCTCCTCCAGTGGGTGCCCAAGGGTCCCTCCTTCCCCTGGGCCTCTGGCCACCTTGATCCCCAGCCTACCTGCTGATCACCCTTGTACTCGCCGAAGTGGAAGACTCGGGCTTTGAGCTCCAGCTCAGCTGCTGTGTCCTCCTCCTTGGTGATGGACATCATCATCGTGCTGACCCACTGCTTCAGCTGGTTGACCTCCCTGTCCCTGGAGGAGGGAGAAACCGGCAGGGCATCAGTCCCTCGGCGCAGCCCTGGGCACATCGCTTCTCTGAGCCTGACCGTCTGTACAGTGCTTTGCCCCTACCAGCTGTCCTGAGGGCTGAAGGATCATGGGTGCCAAGTCTCTGCATGCCCAGGGGGTCAGAAATGCTGGCAGAATGTAGGGGAAATTTTAAAATATTTAACAATCAACATTAAAGAAAATAAACAGCTTCATTGAGGCATAATTCACAGACAATAAAATTAGCATAACCATCATAAAGTATACAAGTTTTTTTGTATATTTAAGGAGTTTACACAACCATCACCATAATCTAATTTTAGAACATTTTCATCACCCCATGCCCATTAACAGTCACTCCTCATTGTCTCCTCTATCCTTTGGTCTTTTTTTTTTTTTTTTTTTTTTTGAGACGGAGTGTCGCTCTGTCGCCCAGGCTGGAGTGCAGTGGCTGGATCTCAGCTCACTGCAAGCTCCGCCTCCCGGGTTTATGCCATTCTCCTGCCTCAGCCTCCCAAGTAGCTGGGACTACAGGCACCCGCCACCACGCCCGGCTAGTTTTTTCATATTTTTTAGTAGAGACAGTGTTTCACCGTGTTAGCCAGGATGGTCTCGATCTCCTGACCTTGTGATCCGCCCGTCTCGGCCTCCCAAAGTGCTGGGATTACAGGCTTGAGCCACTGCGCCTGGCCTATCCTTTGGCCTTAAGCCACTATGAATCTAACTTTGTGTCTACCCTGAACACTTCATAAAAATGGAGTCACACAATATGTTTTCTTTTGTGACTGGCTGCTTTCACCCAGTATATTTTCAAGGTCCATCCATGTTGCAGCATGTGTCAGCACTTCATTTCTTTTTGTGACTGAGTAATCTTCCATTGCATACGTAGGCCACACTTTGTTGATCCATTCATCCATTGATGGGCATTTGGGTGGTTTCCACCTTTTGGCTCTTGGGAATATTGCTGCTATGAACATTCACGTACAGGTTGTTGTGAGGACATGTTCTCAGTTCTCTCGAATATGTATCTAGGAGTAGAATTTCAACATTCACCTTTCAAGTGAAATAAGAAACATGCAAAAGGGACATGCTGCTCAGAGTTGGGCCTCAGACCAACCTGGGCATCACCTGAAAGTGTGTCAGAAATGCAGAGTCTTAGACCTTGACCCACACCTATTGAATCAGAAACTTCATTTTAAGATCCCTGGGGGATTCAAGTGCACATAAAGTCTGAGAAGCACTTCGCTATAGGGAACGTGATCTGGTTTCTTCAACAAATGGATGGCAAGGGGGAAAACAGAAAGGAAACCTATAGATTGATTTTATAGATAGAAGAATTTAACGATACAACCAGAGGAATAGCATCAGCAAGATGGTGGAGTAGGGGGTCCTCAGCTCTTGTCCCCCCACAGAAACACTAATTTGACAACCATCCATGGATGAAAATGTCTTTGTCAGAGCTCCAGAATTCAAGGGAGAGGTTATAGCACCCAGTTTATGCACCCAGTGGTGCATAAAAACAGAGAAAAGCCATAGAGAGTGAGAGAATAATTTCACTCTGCCTATGTCACCTCTCTCCCAGGCCATGGCAGTGCTGAAAGAGATCTCATTGGCCTGCAGTTTCTCATGTTGGGGGAAGGAGAAAGCAAGGTGGAACCCCAGGTTTCCATGCATTTTGGGCCCAAGAGGCCCATTTCTGTCTCATCTCTGCCAGAGCCCTGGTGTAACTGTCATGGATGGATCACCTAGGGGGGCAGCTAGGAACAAATAAAAGGCACAGGGCCTGATAGCACCCAATGTGCAGACCTCACCTGTCTGTAGACCCACCACAGCATGCCCCACCCACCTTGGACCGTGGCAGTAGGCCCTGCCCACAGACCCCACCAGCCAGCACATGGAGAATCTCTGGCTGAGCTGTCTGGCTTTCTCCTTTGGCTTTCCCTGCTGAAGCCAGTCCCTAATGACTGAAAGAAGCAACTCCTTCAAATGTGCAGATAGCAATGCAAGGCCACAAGAATCATGAAAAATCAGGGAAACATGACACCACAAAAGGAATCTGATAAGTCTCCAGTTATTGACCCTCAAGAAATAAAGATCTACAATTTGCCTGAAAAAGAATTCAAAACAATTGTCTTATAGACTCCCAGTGAACTGTAAGACAACATAGATAGGCAACTAAACAAAATCAGGAAAACTGTAAGTTCAACAAAGAAATAGAAACCATAAAAAAAAAAAAACCCAGAAATTATTGAGCTAAGAATGCAATGACTGAACTAAAAATTTCAATAAAGAGCTGTGACAGCAGACTAGATCAAGCGGAAGAAAGAATCAGGGAACTCAGAGATAAGTCACATGAAATTAGCCAGTTAGAGGAGCAAAAGGGCAAAAAAATGAAAAAGAGAAAAAAGCTTATGGGACTTACAGATATCATCAACTGAAACAGTATATGCATTATAAGAGTTCAAGGAAAAGGAGAGAGAGAGAGGGCAAAGTGTTTTTTAATTTTATTTTTATTGATACATAATAGATGTACATATTTTTGCAGTACCTGTGGTAATACATTCATATAATTTGTAAAGATCAAATCCGTGTAATTGAGATGTCCATCACTTTAAATATTTGTCTTTCTACTAAAAACATTCGAATTACTCTAGCTATTTTGAAGTATACAATAGATTACTTTAGACTACAGTCATGCTACTAATGTATCAAACACTAAATCTTATTTCTTCTATCCAACTTTATATTTGTACCCAATAATCAAGAGAACTTAAATAATGGCTGAAATGTTCCCATGTCTGGAGAGGGAAATGGATATCCAGATTCATGAAGCCTAAAGATTCCCAAATAAGTAGAACCTAAGAGATCTACTTTGGGGACATATTATATTATCAAGAGTCAAAGAGAAAAAGATTTTGATAGCAAGAGAAAAGTGACTTGTCATGTACAACAGAACTGCTATAAGATTATCAGTATATTTCGCAGCAGAAGTCTTGCAGGTCAGGAGAAAACGGGTTGATATATTTAAAGTACTGAAAGAAAAAAATGGCTAAAAGGTATACTATATGCAGCAAAACTATCCTTTAAAAATAAAGAAGAGATAAAGACTTTCCCAAACAAAACCTGAATGAGGTGGTCACCCACAATACTTGCCTTAGAGAAGTGCTAAAGAGAGTTCTACAAGTTGAAACAAAAAGTTACTAAATAGCAACACAAAAGCATGCAGAAGTATACATCTCACTGGTAAAGGTAACATCACAAAAAATGGTTACATTCAGAGGTTTTTGTATGCAATTGAAGTAAATTTGTTATCAGCTTGAAATAGACTATTATAAGATGCTCAGTGTCTCATTAAAGTAACTACCAAAAAAAACCTATAGTAGATACATAAGAAGATAAAAAGAATCAAAGCAGATCACTGAAAAAAAAAAAAAAAATCAAACCCAAAAGACAGCAGAAGAGGAGGAACAAGAGAGCTATGAAACAGACAGAAAAAATGAACAAAATGGCAACAGTAATATCAGACAAAATAGACTTTAAGTCAAAAACTGTCACAAGAGGCAGAGAAAAGAAGATTCACATAAAATCAGAAATTAAAGAAGAGACATTACAGTTGATGCACAGAAAGAAAAAGGAACATAAGGAACTATTAGACAATCCAGAAAAAAAAAAAAAAAGATAAATTCCTAGAAACGTACAACCTACCAAGACTGAATCAAGAAGAAATAGTCTTAACAGATCAATAACAAATAGGGAGATTGACGTAGTAATCAAAACACTCCTAACAAATAAAAGCACAGGACCTCATGGTGTCATGGGTGACTTCTGCCAAACATTTAAGGAATTAACAGTAATCCTTTCCTTTTTTTTTTTTTTTTTTTTTTTTGAGGCGGAGTCTCGCTCTGTCGCCCAGGCTGGAGTGCAGTGGCGTGATCTCGGCTCACTGCAAGCTCTGCCTCCCGGGTTCATGCCATTCTCCTGCCTCAGCCTCCCGTGTAGCTGGGACTACAGGCGCCCGCCACCACACCCGGTTAATTTTTTGTATTTTTTGTAGAGATGGGTTTTCACCGGGTTAGCCAGGATGGTCTCAATCTCCTGACCTTGTGATCCGCCCGCCTTGTCTTCCCAAAGTGTTGGGATTACAGGCGTGAGCCACCGTGCCTGGCCTTTGTTTTTGTTTTTGTTTTTGTTTTGATGGAGACTCACTCTGTCACCCAGGCTGGAGTGCAGTGGCACAATCTTGGCTCACTGCAGCCTCTGCCTCCCGGATTCAAGCAATTCTCCTGCCTCCCAAGTAGCTGGGACTACAGGCATGCACAACCATGCCTGGCTCATTTTTTGTGTGTTTAGTAAAGACAGGGTTTCACCATGTTGGCCAGGCTGGTCTCGAACTCCTGACCTCAGATGATCCACCCACCTCGACCTCCCAAAGTGCTGGGATTACAGGTGTGAGCCACCGCACCCAGCCAGCAATCCTTTCTAAACTCTTCCCAGAAATGGAAGAGGAGGGAACATTTCCAAGCTCATCTATGAAGCCAGCATCACCTTGATAACAAAGCCAGACAAAGACACCACCAGAAAAGAAAACTTAGGCTAATATCCCCTATGAACATAGATACAAAAATCCTCCCAAAACTATCACACAGAATTCAAAAGTGCCTTAAAAGGATCAAACACACGTCACCCTCACACATGCATAGCCTCTCCCACTATCAACATCCCCCTGCAGAGTGGCACATTTGATACAATCGATGAACCTACCTGGACACATTATTATCACCCACAGTCTGGACTTTACATGCAGGTTCCCTCTTGGTACTGTATATTCTGTGGGTTTGGACAAATGTATTATATAATGATACATATCCACCATTATAGCATCATACACAGTATTTTCATTGCCCTGCAAATGCCTTGTGCTTTCCCTCTCTTCATCCCTCTCTCCCCCTAAGACCCTGGTAACCACTGATTCTTTTAGTTTCTCCACAGTTATGCCTTCTCCAGAATGTCATAAAGTTGGAATCATACAGTATATACCCTTTCCAGGCTGAGTTCTTTCACTTAGTAATACGCATTTAAGGTTCTTCCATGTCTTGTCATGACCTGATAGCTCATTTCCTTTTAGCACTGAAAAATGTTCCATTTTCTGGATGTACCACAGTTTAATGATTAATATTGTCTATGATCTGTGTCCCTGCCCAAATCTCATGTTCAATTGTAATCCCCAGTGTTGGAGGTGGGGCCTGATGGGAGGTGACTGGATTATGAGGCAGTTTCTCATGAATGGTTTAGCACCATCCCTTTGGTACTGTTCTCCTGTAGGAGTGACTTCTCATGAGATCTGGCTGTTTAAAATTGTGTGGCACCTCCCCCACTCTCACTGTCTTGCTGCTGCCTCAGCCATGTAATATGCGCCTTCACCTTCTGCTATGACTGTAAGTTCCCTGAGGCCTCTCCAGAAGCTGAGCAGCTGCCAGCATCATGCTTCCTGTACATCATCATATATCCGGGAGTCACAAATTAAAACAAAATACCACTACACATCTATTGGAATGGCCAGATCCAAAACACTAACAACACCTAATGCTGGCAAGGATTTGAAGCAAGAGGAAGTCTCATTCATTGCTAGTGGGAATGCAAAGTGGTACAGACACCTTGGAAGACAGTTTGTCAATTTCTTACGAAACTAAACATACTTGTACTATGTGATCCAGAAATTGTGCTTCCTGGTGTTTACCCAAATGAGTTGAAAACCTACATCCACACACACACAAACATCTGCACATAGATGAGCCATACAGACATGGTGCTGAGGGAAAGAGACCAGACACCAATGAAAACCTACTACACTATTACTTGAAGTTCTAGAACCAGCTACTTTGGTTATCCATTGCTACACAACAGGTTACACATAACATGCATTTATTACCTCAGAGTGTACAGTACTTATGTGGGTTAATTGCTAGGCTCTCTATTCTATTCCAATGATCTATTTCACTATTCTTTCACCAGTACACACACCATTTTCATTACTGTAGTTTTAGTAAGTCTTGAGGTTGGGTAGTGTCAGTCACCCAGTTTTCTTGTTCATCTTCAGTGCTGTGTTGGCTATTCTGGGTATTTTGACTCTTCATATAAACTCCAGAATCAGTTTGTCAGTAACTACAAAGTAACTTCCTGGATTTTCACTGGGATTGCATTGAAGCTATAGATCAAGTGGGAAGAATGACATCTTGACAATATTGAGCCTTCCTATCCCTGAACATGGAATATCTCTCTATTTATTCTTCTTTGATTTCATCAGAGTTTTACGGCTTTCCTCATATAGATCTTGTATGTTTTGTTAGATTTATATTTAAGCACTTCATTTCAGAGGGTGCTAATGTAAATGGTATTATGTGTTTAATTTCGAAGTCCAGTTGCACATTACTGGCATATGAGAAAGCCACTGACTTTTGTATGTTAATCTTATATCCTGCAACCTTGCTTCTTGCTGTAACAGCTTATTAGTTCCAAGAGCTTTTTGTTTTTATTATTCATTTATTTATTTATTGAGATGGAGTCTTCCTCTGTTGCCAGGCTGCAGTGCAGTGGTGCGATCTCAGCTCACTGCAACCTCCGCCTCCCGGGTTCAAGTGATTCCCGTGCCTCAGCCTCCCAAGTAGCTGGGATTACGGGCACACGCCACCACTCCCAGTTAATTTTTTGTATTGTAGTAGAGATGGGTTTTCACCATGTTGGCCAAGATGGTCTCAATCTCCTGACCTCGTGGTCTGCCTGCCTCGGCCTCCCAAAGTGCTGGGATTACAGGCATGAGCCATCACACGCAACCTTTTTTTTTTTTTTTTTTTTTTAAGACAGGGTCTCAGTGTGTCACCCAGGCTGGAGTACAGTGGCATGATCATGGCTCACTGCACTCCTGGGCTCAAGTGATCCTTGCACCTCAGCCTCCCAAGTAGCTAGGACTTCAGGTGTGTGCCACCATGCCTAGCTAAGTTTTTAATTTTTTCTAGCAATATGGTCTCACTATGTTGCCCAGTCTGGTCTTGATCTCCTGGCCTCAAGTGATCCTCCTGCCTTGGCCTGCCAAAGTGCTGAAATTACAGGCATGAGCCACTGTGCTTGGCCATCAGGAGCTTTTTGTTGATTGCTTTGAATTTTCTGCATAGACATTCATGTCACCTGTGAACAAGGACAGTTTTATTTCTTCCTCCCAATCTATATACATTTTATTTTTTTTTTTTGTCTTATTACATTAACTAAGACTTCCAGTACAATGTTGAAAAGCAGTAGTGAGAGAAGACATCTTTGCCTTATTTCTCATCTCATGAGAAAGCTTTTAGTGTTTTTTTTTTTTCATTAGGTAACATGTTAGCTGTAGGATTTTTGTGTTCTTTATCAAATTGAGGAAATTCCCTTCTATTCCACATTTTCTGAAAGCTTTTATTATGAATGGGTATTGGATTGTGTTCAGTGCTATTTATATCATGTGACTTTTCTTATTTAACATGTGGATATGACAGATTACGTTAATTTTTGAATGTTGAACCAGCCCTGCATACCTAGGATAAATCCCATTTGGTTGTGGTGTATACTTCTTTTCATATACTGTTGGATTCAATTTGCTAATATTTTGTTGAGGATTTTTGCATCTGTGTTGAGGATATTGGTGGCTACTTTTCCTTTCTTGTAATGCCTTTGTCTAGTCTTGGTATTAGGGTGATACTGGCTTCATAGAATGAGCGAGGAAGTACTCCCTCTGCTCTTATCTTCTGAAAAGTGATTGTAGAGAATTGGTGTAATTTATTCCTTAGATGAAATTCTTGCTTTGTAGAATTCACTAGCAAACCCATCTGGGCCTGGGGCTTTCCCTTTTGGAAAGCTATTAATTATTGATTTAATTTCTTTAATGGATATAGGCCTATTATGATTGTCTATTTGTTTTATATATTTTTAAGACTGTATTTTGATTTTTTTCTGAGAAAAGATTGCTGAGTTCATGGAAGTTAAATACACATGGGCTGTGACTCCCCTGGAAACAAAGTATGGGTGCTCTCAGGGATGGCTTGGCTGGCTGAAGACCAGCTTTGGGATGTCACATCCAGCATTCTGCTATGAGGTTTACGTTTGCATGCGTGTGTTGGAGGAGGAACCTGTCTTCTTGCCCAATTAAGCTGGGAGCCTGCCCACCTCTCCCCAGCTCGTCTTCCTCTGTCACCTCCCAGCATTCCAGGATACATAGTCTTGCCTGAGGCTGGGGGTTTCACATCATTCTGGGGACTCTTTGCCACACCGCACCAACGGGACATGGGTGGTCAGTAGCATGGTTCCCCCATGGGACACTTAAGCCTCAATGGGCTCCCCCCTCAGTGCCTTTGCACCCGCTCTTCTTGCTGCCTGGGACCCTCTTTGCCCAGCCTCTGTGTGGATGGCTTTCCTCCCACTCCTCAGGAAGTTTTCTGACAACTCCTGGAAGCCTTCCCTGCCCCTCCCATCTGCTGTCACCCTCCATTTTAGCCCTCTTTCTCAAGTTGCTTTATTTTCCTCCTAGAACACATCAGTATCCACAAGTCACATCTGTGGACCTGTTTGTTGTATCTGCTGCCATTAAGGTCAGCTGCACGAAGGCAGGGCCTTGCTTTATCCTTGCAGAGCTTAGACCCAGGCCTGACCCAGAATGGATGCACAGGCAGTATGTGGGGAGTGAGCAGAGGATTCCCTGCTCTGGACATGCCTCACCAGTGCCTCAGGCTGACCCTGCCCTGCCCAGTTCTCCTGGAGGCAGGTGTCCTGCAGGAGACTGAGTGGCCACACCCAGCAGGAGGGACCATAATAACCTCAGGTGGGCTTCAGGTGAGAGCTGGGCAGCCACCTGACTTCTGCTGCTGCCTCTCTGGTTGGAACTGGGAGGCCAGGATTTTCCCAAGGCCCTAGCCACTTTGCCATGCTGGACAAGCTGTGTTTTAGGCCTGTCCCCAGAGGCCCAGTCCTGGGTGACCAGATGGCCCTCACCCATCCCTGCCCATCTCAGCCCCACCTGGCCCCAGCCTGAAGGGTGGCATGACTCACCACGCCCATGTCCTCCTGCTCAGGGCTGCACCCACTCCCGTCCCCGTTACGCTGCTGAACAGCAGTGGGGGACACACTTCACAGCAGCCCACAGGTGGCTTGGCCTTCCCCAGTTCTGTGCCATGAACACCCACTCTGGTCTACGAAATATGAAGCAGCAGCAGCTTCCAGGCCCTTCTGAGCAAATGACTGCTTTGGGTGCCTGTGTGAAGCATGTTAGTGCTGCCAGGAACTGGGGGGTCAGGGTCGCTGTGGACCTCCAGCCACTCCAAGGGCCCCCCAGGAGCTTGGTGGCAGCAGAAGGAGCCTAGGGTGGAAGCTCCTTGGAAAGGCCTGGCTCTAGCCATGGGCTGCTTCAGGGTGGGCACAGGTGCCTGGGCCCTGCCCACCCCCAGCTCCAGCACCCTCTCTCCAGGATCCGGCCCACAAACGGAGCTTCACATGGAGCTTTTCAGACAATATGGACCAGGCCAGGGCCGTGGACAGGGGTGGGGGCTGTTCTGCCAACTCAGCTCCCAGTGCAGAGGGATCCCAGAATGAGAGTGGCAGGGAGCTCCCGCCAGCCACCGCGCGGCACCTACATGTGGATCTGCGTGTGTTTCAGGGTGTGGCTCAGCTCCTCCAGGGTCTCCTCCATCTCCTGCCTGTTCTGGATCAGCGACAGGTTCTGCTCCTCCAGCTCTCGGAAGACATCCAGGAGCTGCTGGGGCTCCGTGAAGTACAGCTGTGGTTCCTGCAACCCACAGGTTTTGGCAGGGACTGGCCAGGGACAGAGCCAGAGGGGCAGGGATAGGGGCACGGCAAGGGAGGGGCGACTTCTGAATTCCAGTACAGCACTGGGCCATTCACCTCCCCATCGCTGTCGGTGTCCTCCTGCGTGGGGGGGATGGGAGAGTTCGACCTGCGAAGAGATGGCAGGGTCGGGACTCTGGGACCAGCCTGAGCAGACAGGAGCCCGGGGAGGGGCACAGAGGTCTTGAAGGCGTTGTCAGCATCCCCATCCCTCCTCTCCCAGCTGCCCACAAGTTGCCCAGAGGGCAGCACCAGCTTCCTCACAGTCCCCAGCTGCCACACTGCAGCCAGGGGATAGTTTCAATCCACTCATTTTCCCAAGGCCCTAGCCACTTTGACATGCGGGACAAGCCATGTTCCAGACCTGTCCCCAGAGGCCCCAGTCCTGGGTGGCCAAATGGCCCTCACCCTTCCCAGCCCCACTGCACTTAGAAGAAAACCCTCTCTCCTCCTGGGGACTGCCAGGCGGCCCTCCCAGCACTCACCTTGCCTCCCCTGCCCCAGCCCCTCTGCCCACCCGGTCAGGTCCCCTCTCTCGGGGTGCTGCCCTACCTCAGGCCTCTGCACCTGCGGCTCCGCTGGCTGCTGGGGCTGTCCCTCCTCCCTCACCATTGTTTACTGAGCGCCACCTTTGAGGCCTTTCCTGCCCTGCCTCCCCCATCTAGGGTCAGTCTTGGCCCCTGTCCTTGGGGTCCCACTCACAGCAATAGAGGGACTCTCAGGGCTGCCTTCAGGTGATCCTGAGTGCCCAGGGGCAAGGTCTTTCTGGACCAGTGGAGAGGGGTTGGGCACAAGCTATGTGAGCTTTAAACGCTCAGTGTGGGCCCCAGAAAGCCCCACTGGATGGGAACCTCACCTCCACCGACTTCCAAACCTGCCCTCCCAGCCTGCTCCAGCCTGGGCCTCACCTAGCATCTGCAGGTCCTGCTGGCTGAGGTGGGGGGGCTGCGTTGGCTCGCCCCAGGCACCTCAGGGACCTGAGCTTGGGCTTGGAGATGCCACCCCCTAGCCCCCAGAAACAGAGAGGCATCAGGGCAAGGGCCTGTGGGACTCTGAAGGCAGATCCAGGAGGGCTTCCCACGAGAGGCTGTGATATCAACTACAGCACTTGCCAGACCCACGCCTCACACTGCACACCGATGCCCATTTTACAGATGAGGGAGCTGGCTGTGTGCAGGGCACTGCTGGCCCATACGATGCCTTTCTGAGACTCCACCCTCCAGATGGATGTAGCCTGGGTCAGGGAGCCTGACCTGGCAGTTGGTGGGGGTGGGCTGGACTTCAGCTCCCACGTGCCCTCTTGGCTGAGTGAGTACCTTGTATAGTTCACAGCCTGCCCAGCTGTACTCAGTGGCCCTAGTCACCTGGCTAATAGACGGAGGGGCTAGGAGATTGAAACCCAGTATAGTGTGGTCCCTGACTCTGTTCTCAAGTCTCCCAAGTCAGGGCCTGTCTGGTAGGGGTCAGTCCGTGACTGAGGGGGCCCTAGGCGGAGCAGGCTGCACTGCATACATTAGAACCTCTGCTCCTCAACACAGAACTGGAAATGCAGGGCGTCATGGCAGGCAGCGTTAACACCAGCCTGTGCACGGCCCAGCAGCACGCCCCAGTGGTGGCTGGTCTTCCCCACAAGGCATGGCTGTGCTGGGCAGAGAGGAAAGCCAGCTTGGGTCCTCTTCCAGCTGGAGAAGCATCAGTTTGGGCCATGGGAGGCTGATGTTGGGGCCACCCATCTGGGTGTGGAGTTCAGGAACAGGCAGTCGTGGAGAGGGGAAGACAGAGGGTGGAGGGCAGAAGGGCTGAGCAGCAGATAAAGACCCTGTGGAGGAGAGTGGGTCGCCACAGACACAGGGCCAGGGCAGGGGTGTAGGGAGCAGCCCCGAGCCCTAGTGCCCACTTTTCTCCATCCCCGCTTCTGCCACCCTTATCCAAGCCAATAAAAACCATCAGCTTCCAGAAGAAAACACAGGAGAATATTTTAGTGACTATGATGTTGGCAAATATTTCTTAAGCAGGGCCCCAAATTCACCAATCATAAAATTACAGATTGGTAAATTTGACTTCACTAAAATTAAGAATTCCTGTTCTTCAAAATACAGTATTAAACAGAAATAAGGTGACTGGGCGCAGTGGCTCACACCTGTAATCCCAGCACTTTGGGAGGCTGAAGCGGGAGAATCACCTGAGGTCAGGAGTTTGAGACCAGCCTTCCCAACAGGGCGAAACCCCGTCTCTACTAAAAATACAAAAAATTAGCCGGGCGTGGTGCCACACGCCTGTAATCCCAGCCACTCAGGAGGCTGAGGCACGAGAATCGCTTGAACCCGGGGAGTGGAGGTTGTGGTGAGCCGAGATCACGCCACTGCGCTCCAGCCTGAGCAACAAGAGCGAAACTCCATCTCTAAATACATAAATAAATAAATAAATAAATAAATAAATAAATAAATAAATAAGAAATAAGGCAAGACACAAACTGGAAGAAGATATGTATACCACACTTACCACACCAGGCTGGTCCCCAGAATACATAGAGAACCAATAGGTAACCATAGGAACCAGGCCAATAATCCAACAAAAATGTACAGAAATCGGATACTTCACAAAAAAATGACATCTGAACAGCCAGTAAGTATGAAATGTATCCAGATGTGTCATCAGAAAATGTCGTGAAAACCATATGGTCCTGAAGACCACTTCACCCATGTAGTGACCATGACTTTGATGTTCTGTGTTTTGTTGCTTTTGACACCTGTGGCCTTGCCAAGCCTGGAGGGACCACCTCTCTCAGGGCTGACCAGTCCATGGAGACAGGAAGTGACTCACCCTGGCCTCCGAGCTTGCCCTCAGCTCACCTTTCAAATGCAAACCACCCAATCCACTGTCCACACCCCAGCCAGACCCTCTGTCGGACTTTCACACTCAGGACCTATCCCCCCAGGGCCAGGACCAGACAACTAGGGGCAGGCCTTTGTCCAAGAGCCCCGAAATTATTCCGAAACAAATCAGCCCTACACCTGCTCACCGCCTCAACCTGAATTCCCATGGGAACCACAATGGAAACTCCTGCCCTAGGGCCCTACTCCCTCTGCCTCCTGGCCAACCTGGGACTTCCCAGTGTGGCCCTTCATGGAGTAGGGACTGTGAGTAACATACTTTCTTTCCTGTGGCACTCAGACCTGACTACACGTGGGTGCCACAAGGGAGGGCTCCCTGCTAGGCCCCAGCCCCTCCCACCCACCGGAGCCCACTCACCCTCTGGAGTTGCCACCACTAGACTCGCTGGGCTGGCTGCCTTGCTGGGGGCTGCTCAGGTAAGACAGGCTCCGCCCCAGCCGCAGAAACCTCCAGGGCTTCTTTGTACCCTGACCCTCTGGAGAAAGCAGAGGAATGGTTTCTGAACCCTGTGCAGGGCGGAGCCGGGCTCCTCAGGCTGGGGGCGGCAGCTCACCTTTGGCCCACACAGAGCTCGCCTTGCCCTTGATCCCTGGTCCTGCAGGAAGCAAAGGGGGGGTCCCGATGGCCTCAGCTGCAGCCAAGCTTCAGTGATGCCACGTGGCCCAGATGCCTGCAGGTAACCTGCCAGCTGGGCTCCGGGTCTCAGTGGGCCACTGGCAGAGCCCACATGGGTACCCACATTCTCTTTTCTGCTACCTTTGTCCCCTGGTGTGGAGTTAACACTGCCGTCTTTGGAAGCCTCGGAGACCTCCTTGGCCTTTTTGAGAAACAAGTGTTTCTTTTCCTGTTCTTCAAGCCACTCCTTGGGCGACAGCTTGTATAGGAAATCCTTGTAGACCTTGTAATGCTGCAGAGTGTCTTCAAATCTGGAGATATCACTACATCGGGGTGGGGTGGGGGGGTGGGAAAGAGGAGGTCAGCCTCTGCCACAGTGAGGTCCCCATGCCGGGACCACACCTCTATCCTGGCCAAGTCTGTGTGGGCTCCTTGTTTTCCTTGAGAAAAGGTGCAGGAATGCCACATGCTGGAAGATGGGCACCCACCCTGCAACAAGCAGAGTCACAGCCTTTTGTGACTTGCAAGTTCCTCTCCACCCTGGAGACCGCACCTCTCTCAGGCTGTAGCTGGGCGAGCCTTTGAGCCAAACTGCCTGCCTCCAAGTGGAAGCTTTGGGAGTCACTGAATCTCTCTTGGTCTCACTCCCCTCGTCTATAAATGGGCAACAACCTTATGGAAGCACTGAGTCCCTGGGAGGTAAAGCCATGAGGTTCACGTGGCACTAGGCTCCCTTTGGCCATGCAAAATGACTGAGGGACCAGGAGGTGGACCAGTCAATGGCCAGCATGCCCTCTGACCTCACCTTTTGATATTAACAATCTGGGTGGTGAGGTCCCGGATTTCAAGGATCTTCTCTATCTTGGCTTTGGTCTCCTTCTCAGCCCTAGGAGTTGGGCGTGGGGGAGGAGGGATGGGGGCAGGGGGCCAGTGGCAGCCTATTAAAGAGGGGTGAGCCCACCACCCACAGGCCCCAGGGTTGTGCCAGGCTCCGGACAGGGCTGGAGAGCCACACAGTTAATCCTTTTGCCTGTAGTATCCCCTGCCCTTGGCTCCCGACCAGCCTTGGTGCTTCCAGAAGTTTTGTAGGGGCTGGGGCAGAGGCTGGGTGAGGGGATGGATGAGTGGGTGTGCACAGGCTCAGGGACAGTGGGGGTTCGGCATTGCCCAGCCAGCCCCTCGGGCCTGCAGGCTCACGCTCTCATGGCCTGCACGGAGCTGCAGTCGTTCTCCCTGAGGAACTCGTCGAACAAGGCGGCATCCTTCTCCAGGGACTTCTCGGCCTGCTGCAGCCTGGCCTCCTCTTTGGTCGCCAGTGTCTCCAGCCGCTGGATCTCTCTCCGTTTGCAATCCAGGGTATACTGGGGGCCAGAGTGGGGTCATGGTGCCTGGCCCAGGCCAGCCCCTACTAGCATCCCTCAAGCTGGGGGCTGCGGGACCTACCTGGAGGAGGAACATTTGCCGCTTCTGCTTAAGGTAGCCACTCATGTTCTCAGGCTCCACATTCTTTTCTGCTGGAAGAAGAGGGAGGTGAGCAGGAGTGGGAAGCCCAGGCTGAGGAGGGGCCTGGCAGGTCTGCAGAGGAGCCTTCCGCCGGCTGCTGGGCACTGCTTTGCGTCCACGCCCAGGTGATTACCGGGACCATGGAAGGGAGTGTTCTTGTCCTCTGTCTCCACAAAAAGAGAAGGCTCTGCCTGAAATGTTACATTCTCCATGGCCAGAGTCCGGCCAGGTGGGAGGTCCTTACTGTGTCTGACTTGCGCCTCTCTAAGTTTTTCCCACACATAGCTACCTGTGATGGAGTTATATTAGATCTATGAATTAGGCACAGTCAGAGATAATAACGACTCATAAAAATAGAACAATTATAACAATATGCTGTAATAAAAGTTAGGCAAATGGTCTCTTTCGCAAAATATCTTACTGTATTGTACTCACCTACTTTCAGCTCCGGCAACTGATGCCAAGGAAAGAGAAACCAAGGATAAGGTGGGGAACTATCCTATTAGGATTGAAAAGCTTTTAGGCTTGCAGTCCTGGAATAGAGCTTTGGGACGCCCCTGGAGGGGCCAAACACAGAAAAGGCGGGCCTTTCCAAAGCACTTCCCATCTGTGCAAGCCGAGTGGCACCGAGGTTCCAAGCGCCCCATGCGCCGCGGATGTGGGGCGCCACTGGCCCAGGTTCCCCCGCGCCGGAAGGGACGCACCTTTGGTCAAGGTGAGCTTCCAGGTATTGTAGTCGCGGAAGGCTCGCAGATGGTCTGCCTCGGTGCGCGCCTCCAGGTCCTCCTGCTTGTCCTCCAGCTGCAGCTGCCGTCGCAAGCTGGTGTGCTTAGCCAACACTTTGGAGGAGTAGGTCATCTTCTCGTGCACTCGCATCGTCTTCTGCTGCTGCCGCTCCTGGGGGCGTCGGGCCAAGTCGGGCGGGGCCCAGGCTCCCCACCCGCGTCCACTCCTAGGGGTGCGTGGGCCTGAGGCCTGGGACGCGGGTTTGCGCGTGAGCGCGGGAGGATGCCCGTGGAGTTAGGCAGCGCGGGGACACGGGGGCCTGAACACAGCAGCCCCGGGCTGACAGGCAGGCAGGGCAACTGTTGGGGAGGCCAGTTGCCCCTGAGAAGGGCGCCAGTCAGGGTCCCCTGGTTAAACACAGGCTGCCCGGTCAAATGAGTACTCCAGACCCACAGAGGGGACACCCTCACCCGAAAAGATGATGTCTCATTTTATCCGAAATCCACATTTAAGTGAGAGTCGTATATTTTGATGACCAGCCCAGGGGCAAGGAACCTAGAGGCTCTGGGGTTCCCGAAGACTATGGCTGTGTAGTGGGTGTAGCCTAGCTGGAAGGTCACCGTTGGTGGCCATCTCCACCTGCTGTCCACCCCACTCCAGTTCCTGTGCAGCCTGGGGGTGGCTTCGAGCCAGCCCTCCCTTGGGAAAAAACCCTCGGAGGAGGGGGAAGGCTGGACTCACCTCCCCACATCCCCACCCCGCCCCGTGTCCCTTTTGCCATCCGGTTCTCACGGTAGGGATATCCCCTGCCAGCTCCACACCCTCTCCCACTTTTCTGCATCGGCCCGGGAGTCTCTTCATATGGACTTTCTAGGGTCACTTCTGTTTCCTGCTGGGACCTACCAGGTACACAAACAGCATCTAAGAACCCAGGCAAATGGGTCCAGCCTGAGGCCCCTGGAGTGCACGTCCCCATCACTGCAGTCAGGAAAATGTCACCTACTAGATCCTCAGGGTACAAGGTGGCCTTTAGAAGACACTGGGCAGCTGACTGAGGGCAGGGCCAGACTGAGGGGGACCCTGTCGGGAGTGGGAGGTGGTGGTGGTGAGTGTCAGACCCTGCTGGGTGGGGAAGGGTGTAAGTGGGAAAACCTGCTGGGTAGGGGAGGTTGTGAGTGAGAGACCCTGCTGGGTGGGGGAGGGTATGGTTTGGTGACCCTGTTGGGTGGGTGAGGTTGTGGTTCGTTGACCCTATTGTGTGGGTGAATATGGCGTTTCGTGACCCTGTTTGGTGTGGTGGAGAGAGTGTGTTGGATGAGACTCTTAGTGGAAGGCAGGGGAGGTCCTGAGCTAGGGCTGGGCTTGAGTGTAGAGGAAAACCGAGTGCCTCATTGGAGAAGATACAGTAGGGTAGCCAAGGCGTGGGTCAGAGAATCTCTGGGTCTCAGTCAGTCTAGGAATCACAGCCCACAGGCTCAGCCCTGGTTTCTGATGTGGAGGCCTGGGCAGGCTGAAGCCTGTGCATCTCCACCCATGCCCTGCAGATGCCAGTGTAGCTGTTGCTGCCTTGGGAACCACGGCTGTGAGGAATCCCTGAGACGCTGAGCCCTGAGGGAGGTGGATGGAGGCTGTGGGGCAGCCCAGGTGCGACCCTGGGAAGGCTGCCATGCCTGGCACGTGGGGCAGGGCTAGGTGCCTAAGGCAGCAAGAGTGGGCTGTCCCCACTCCGGGCTCATAGCTCTCAGGGCTGGGAAAGCAAGAGGACAGGCTGGGGTGAAGATGGGGCAAGAGTGGGGTAGGTGCTGGTCCAGGGACCCTAGGCACCTGGGGGAGCATGTGTATGTATGCCATGGGTGACTCTGTGTGCGGATCTGACCTGCAGGAGTCCAGCCAGAGGAACGGCACAAGGCCTGAGCATAGGGGGTGCCTGTGGGATGGGAGAGGGCCTGTGAGGGCTGAGCTGGGCCTTGGAGGACCCAGAGAGTATCAGGAGGGGATGGCATTTTATGTAGGTGGCATTGGAAGTGATGGTGAGGTGACTGAGGCTGTTGCCACGGCAGCCCAAGAAGTCTATCTGACTGAGACCCAAGAAGAGTGGTGACAGACAGGGGAAGACGGGTGGGACACTGTGAGTCCTGAGAGCCAAGCCAGCTGATTTTGTAGGAAGTGGTGAGCCATTGACTATTCTGGAATGAGAAGGACCTGAGGAAAGTGCTCCTCTGAGAAGGGCAATGTGGCCACTCCAGGAAGCAGTGGGAGCAGGGAAGCTCCTGGAGGTGCTGGCATCTGTCCTGGATACTCACGGAGAGAGCCTTATTCCGCTCCTGATCTCTGAGCAAGAAGAAATCCACATCCCCAGACAAGTGGAAAGGATTTGCCGAAGGGTCAGGACCATGCTCTGGAAAGGGAGACACCTCGCTGCAAAGGCGAGCCAGCTCTTCCAGGCAGTGGTCTGTGTCTCCGGGGCCCCACTGCCCACCCAGCCCAGCATGGAAAAGCATGAGTGAGTGGGAAGGTTCTCCTGGATCCAGCTGTGCTTAAAGTCTAACCCTGGACCTTCCAGCTCCATAAAGGCACCTCTGTAGTTTAACCTGGTTTAAGTTGAGCTTCTGTCCCTGGCACCTGAAAGAGAGCTGGTGAGCACAGCCTTGTCTCACACATCTGCCCTCAGTCAGCCCTCACTGCAGGCCTCTGGAGTCTCCCTTATGGAGGAGGGAGGCTGAGCCTGCTGTTTGTCAGTGATAGGCCTAGTGACCAGGGTCTGCTGACACTGAACTCACGGCCCTTGCTGTGGGCCTCCAGGTGAACTTGCATCTGTCTTTTCAGGCCTCTCAGTCCTCCCAGGGAAGGCCAAGAACAAAGTACTTCAGACCTCGGGAGGGACCAGAGGCCCAGAGAGGGGCTTGTGAAGGTTTGCTTTGCAGGGTGGACTCTTGTCCCACTCATAATTCTACACGCTGACTGCAATTCGGAGACGGAGCTGATGCCAGAGGCCTCCCTGTGAGCCTCAGGCAGCCAAGAAGTCAGGTGGAGAGGGTAAACTGAGCACATGGGCTGCCTTCCCCGCCAGCCCAACACCAACCCCCCAGAAACGTTAGAAAACAAATGTAAAACTCCAGTACAGCTCTGGAAGACAGGGAGGGTGGCTCTGGTGTCACAGAAGTTGTTAGGAAGGTCTGGGAGAGGGCAGGCGGGTGGGATGGGGTGAGGAGGTGCAGCCTGGCACAGCTGCTGGGACAAGGGCATGGAGAACAGTGTGAGGCTTCAAGGCTCTGGGTGGCAGACACTGGGACACAGGCAGCTGGTGGAGGAACTGCCAGGCACTTGCTTCACCTTCCCAATCTGCACTTGCTCTCACTCCCTGTTCCTGTCCAGCAACTCAACCAGGGCAGAGGTGTTTGCCCTCAATTAGGAATCGTGGGACCTGGTGCTTGATCACAGGGGCAGAGAAGTAAAATTCTTTATGCTCCCAAACTGGCGATGAGCACATATGGGTGGCCCATCCCATGTCCCCATCACAAAAGCAAATGGATAGCTAGGAAGCACCCAGCACTTGCCATGGGAAAGACTGGGGACTTTCCATGATTTAATGTTCCTGACCGCCCAAGGAGGTGGGAATTATGGTTACTCCCATTTTACCTGTGAGGAACTGAGGCTTGGAGCAGTCAGATACTCTGCCAAGGTCCCGTAACTGTAAGTAGCTATGGGGAGACTGGCTTAAGAAGTCAGGCACTGCACCTGCAGTCTGGTGACTTGGGAGTGGTCAGAATTCATGTGAAGATGATTGACGTGTTTAGGTGAAGATGAGCCCGCCCCAAAAATGGCAGTCATTTGAGGTGAATCATTCCAAAAATGCAGAGCTGGTTGAATGTTTTTAAGCCAATCAATGTAATGCCTTCCATTAACAGAACAAAACAGGAAATGATACAATCATTTCAAGAGATGCAGTAAAATTATTTGATAAAATTCAAAGCTTATTTTTGAATAAAACTCTTAGCAACTAAGAATAGAAGGGAACCCCCAAATCTGATAAAGGGTATTATGCTTTGGCTGAGTAACAGCCCCCAAAGATGCCCGTGTCCTAATCCCCAAACCTGTGAGAGTGTCACCTTCTGTGGCGAAAGGGCCTTTGCAGATGTGATTGAGTTAAGGATCCTGGGGTGTCCCGGCATGTCCGGGTGGGCCCAGTGTAACCACGGGGGTCCTTGTAATTGGGAGGCAGGAGGGTTGGGGCAGAACGAGGAGTGCAGGAAGAGAAGCCAAGGTGGAGTAATGTGATAGAAACACACAGAAATAGATAATCTGCTCTTGAGTGACATCTGGGTTAACAAGGAAATCAAAATGGAAATTTAAAAATTCTTTGAATTGAATAATAATGAGGTAAGTTATCAAAACCTCCGGGACACAGAAAAACAGTCCCAAGAGGAAAGTTCATAGTGTTAACTGCCTGCGTCAGAAAGTCTGAGAGAGCGCAAATTGACAACCTCATGTCACACCTCAAGGAACTAGAGAAACAAGAACAAACTAAATCCAAACCCAGCAGAAAAGAAATAGCAAATATCAGACCAGAACTAAATGAAATGGAAACAAAGGAAATACAAAGGATAAATGAAACAAAACCCTGGTTCTTTGAAAAAAATGAAATTGGTTTAGACCACTTGCCAGATTAACCAAGAGAAGAAGAGAGAAGATCCAAATAAACTCAATTAGAAATGAAACTGGAGATATTCATCCACCACCACAGAAATACAAAAGATCATTCGAGACTACTACGAACATGTATGTGCACAAACAGAAAACCTAGAGGAAACTGGTAAATTCCTGGAAACATACAACTCTCCTAGATTAAATCAGGAAGAAATAGAAACCCTGAACAGACCAGTAACAAGTAGTGAGATTGAATCCGTAATTTAAACATTGCCAACAAAAAAAAAGCCCAAAAGCAGACGGCTTCACAGCTGAATTCTACCAGACATTCAAAGAAAGATTGGTACCAATCCTACTAAAACGATTCCAAAATATTGAGAAAGAAGAGATGCTCATAGAATCAAACCAGTATCACCCTGATACCAAAACCAGGAAAGGACAAAAAAACAAAACAAAACAAAACAAAAAACTACAGATCAATTTCCCTGACGAACATAAATGCAAAAATCCTCAACAAAACATTAGCTAACTGAATCCAACAGCACATCAGAAATATAATTCATCATGATCAATTGGGTTCCATCCCAGGGATGTGGACATGGTTCAGCATACACAAGTCAATATATGTGATACATCACATGAACAGAATTAAAAACAAAAACTACATGATCATATCAAAAGATGCAGAAAAAGCATTCGACAATATTCAGCACCCCTTTATGATAAAAACTCTCAACAAACTGTGCTGCTACCTTCGAAGACAGAGTGAGAGGCTTGAGCCAAGCCATGCAGGCGGCCACGCCTAGAGGTTGGAAAAGGCAGGAAGATGGGTTTTTCTCCCAGCCTCCAGGAGGAAGGCAGCCCTGCCAATGCTTTGGTTTAGTCCTACAGGACTTCTGACTTCCAGAACTGTAAGATGAGCTATTTGTGCTGTTCTAAACCTTTGAGTTTGTGGTGATTTGTCACAGCAGCAATAGGAAATAAATACAGATATCTACAAGAAACCTTCAGATGAGATACTGAATGTCCCTCCACCCATGTAGGATCAGACCAGGAGCAAGGCAAGGATGCCTGGTCTTGACATTGCTATTCTGCATTAAAATGAGGGTCCTCACTGGAGGAGTGATTCAAGAAAAAGGAATAAAAAGGTTGGATATGGTGGCTCATGCCTGGAATGCCAGCACTTTGGGAGGCTGAGTGGGAGGATCACTTGAACCCAGGAGGTCGAGCCTGCAGTGAGCCGAGATGGCACCACTGCACTCCAGCCTGGGTGGCAGAGTGAGACCCTGTTTCAAAAAGAAAAAAAGAAAGGCAGAGAAGGTATAAGGATCACAAAGGAAGAGAAAATAATGCCATTCAAGGTGGCATGATTGTTTAGTAGAAAACCCAAAGGAATCTACAAATGAAATGGTTACAATTAGGTCAATTAAGATGTGGTTTGTAGGTCTTATTGTGAAAGTAAAACAAAAAGTTGTAGAAGACACAATCAGAGGATATCATGACCTTGGGGGTCACTAAAGAGTTTTAAAATAAGACACTAAAAGCCATAACGAAGAAACGATTGAGCTACATGAAACTGAACTACACTAAAATTAGGAAGTTTTTTTTTTTTTTGAGATGGCGTCCTGTTCTTTTGCCCAGGCTGGAGTGCAGTAGCATGATCTTGGCCCACTGCAACCTCCGCCTCCTGAGTTCAAGCAATTCTCCTGTCTCAGCCTCCTGAGTAGCTGGGACTACAGGTGCCCACCACCACACCCAGTTAATTTTTATAGTTTTAGTAGAGACGAGGTTTCATCGTATTGTTCAGGCTGATCTCAAATTCCTGATCCTAGGTAATCCACCTGCCTCGGCCTCCCAAAGTTCTGGGATTACAGGGGTGAGCCACTGTGCCCAGCCAGGAACTTTTTATTGGTGCCTTTTAGCACCGCACAGAGAGTAAAAGGCAGTTCCAGGAGTGGGAGAATATATCTGTCATCCTTAGAACCAGCAAGTGACTTCTACCCAGTAAAGAGCTCCGATAAGTCATTAAAATAAACAGGCAGTGCAACAGACAAGTGGGCAGAAGATGGAAACAGGTACGTCCCAACACAGAATCATCAAATGACCCAGAACCATGTGAAAAGGGAATGGCCCTCCTGGGTTACCAGGAAATATGAGACACTAACATATACACAGAGGACAAAGTCATATTAAAAGGATCGACAGTGTCCCAAGTGGGGTGGAGAGGACACAGAGCAACTGGAAGTCGTATGCCTGTTGGTGGGACTGGGAATTGGTACAGTCCCTCTGGAAAACTTCATTTATCCAGTAAAGTTAAACACACAACCAGCAATTCCACTCTTGGGTGTGTACCCAGGAGATGCAAGTGCTTATGTTCCCACAGTGACATGTACGAGACTTCATAGCAGTATTATTTGTAAAAACTGGAAACAACCCAAATGTTCACCAGCAATAGAAAGAATAAATGCTTGGCATATGCACAGAAGGGACTCTGGCTAGGTGCAGCAATGTGGATGCCTCTCACAGACTGGATATTGAGCAAAAGCTGAAACTGAAAGGCTAGAGAGTGTGTGATTCCATTTACAGGAGGCTGGAGAGGAGGGTCAGTGGTTTGGTGGGGATAGCTGAAGAGTGGCTGTCTCTCAGGGAAGGATAATTTCTGGGGAGATGGAAATGGTCTAGATCTTCATAGGGCGGAGGAAACACGTTGTACACATTTGTCAAAACTCACAAACTGGGCCAGGTGCAGTAGCTCATGCCTGTAATCCTAGCACTTTGGGAGGCCGAGGCCAAAGCACTGATTGAGCCCAGGAGTTTGAGACCAGCCAAAGCAATATGGTGAAACCCTGTCTACAAAAAATACAAAAATGAGCCAGGTGTGGTGGTGCGCACCTGTTGTCCCAGCCACCCGGCAGGCTGAAGCAGGAGGATCGCTTGAACCCAGGAGGCTGAGGCTGCAGTGAGCTGTGATCGAACCACTGCACCCCAGCCTGGGTGACAGTGAGACCCTGTCTCAAAAAAAACAAAGGGATAGATGGGTGACTGCGTGAATGGCTGCTGTGATAGTTTGTGTGGAGGGTCAGGTGCTCACCCCCAGGTCTCTCTCCCTCCCGTGCCTCTGCATCCACAGCAGATGCGGGTGCTGCCTCTGCCCATGAGAAGAGCCTCATGACCAAGGGGAGCCAGGATCTAGTCAAGCACCTGGGGCTAATGTCCAAGGGCAGGAAGGATGGGCACAGAGAAGCAGTCCCAGTGCCAGCATCAGGAAGCAGACACACAAATGCAGAATGGGGACACTGGGCCCTGCTGCAGGAGAGGCGACACCACTGCTCAACAAGTCAAAGGCCAGAGAGTGATGGGATGGGCCAGGAAAGGGGCTGCTAGATTCACAGAGACTGAAGGAGCTCAGGTCTCCTTTGAATCCTGATTAGAACGAATCTTCTACAGAAGATGTTTCTGAGATAACTGGGCCAGTCTGACCGTGGGTTGGGCTGGTTCACTTTGTCAGGTGTGGTGATGGTGCTTGGGTTTGTACGGAAACACCCCTCTTGTTGAGAAGTGCACACTGAGGTAGATGAAATGACATGTCTGGATTTTACTTTAAAATATCCTAGCAAAGAAAAAGAGGGAAAGGACAGAGGAAGCAAATGGGCACATTTGAGTCAGTGGCAGAACCTGGTGGTGGGCCTGTGAGGCTCACTAGCTCCAATCTCTACATCTGGACATGTTTGAATTTTCATTTTATAATTCCATAATAATAAAAGAGAGGAAATGTGGTGGGGAGAGGAGTGGGAGCCTGGGCCATGGAGCACAGGCTGGGAGAAATGCTCACATCTGCAGACCTCAGCGGAAGGACCAGACTGGTCTGTTAGCCCAGGGGCAGAGTGGGAGACAGCAGGGAGTCCAGGCAAGGGAGGTCAGAGCCACAGTGCAGGAGGTGGCGATGCCCTGTGCAGGGCTACCAGGGTGAGGTACATGCAGCTAGCTAGCTGCCTGCCCTCCTTCCTCCTAACAGTGGCAGCAGTGTGCCCTCCTTGTAGATCCTGATGGCCATATGGCAAATTTAGCTGCTGGAATGTGGGAAGACATTGCTGCTTGGGACTTTGGGGAAGAATCCTTTCCCCTAGAAGGCTAAGTTGGCTGGAGGGTAGTTTTGCCCTTCCCTTTGTTCCTTTCGCTGCCTGGAATCAGATGTGCTGAGGCTGGAGCTGCAGCAGCCACTTTGTGAGCATGAGACAATCTTGTGGTTGAAAGCCCTAATTCCTTTCTGGTGGAGCAGAGAGACTTGGGGACTTGGTCACCTGAAAGGTTTTATGGAACTGCTGTTTATGGAGCCTCAGGAAAGCCTGCATTCCCTCCCACATTTCTCATTAATAGAGGGAGCAATAAGTCTTACTTTGTTTACGTGCCTGTTATTTCAAGTCTCTGTAATCCAATTCCTAATGGAAAGAGAAGCATTTCCTTCTGCCCTTAGCTCTCAAGACCTGGTCTGAGGGGGTCTGTGGGCAGAGGGAGAGGAGTTGCCTCCTGCCAACTTGGACTTTAGCCTCCCAGCTTGAAGGTTACCTTTGGTTTTTTTTGCCTGTTTCTTTGGGTTCTCTTCAGCACTTGAGGAAGAGCTGATGTTCACGGATTCCAGGCTGTTCTCTGAGGAGACACAAAAGTGAGGGCCACAGCAGTGACTCCCCTGGCCCATGAGAACTGTGAACACAGCCTGAGGTGGGGAATGTCTCAGACACACAAGGGTTCAGCGTCAACTCCCTCCTCTGTGAGACTGAGGGCTCTAGGTCCCAGACGATCACACTGACTTTGCTGGGAAGTTGTGAGAATTGTGCAAGAAAATAGCCTGGGAATTCCCTAGCACCTGTGCCTGGTGCACAGATGTTTTGTGCCTCCCCTTTCCCATCCTTCAGTGTGTGCCTTAAGAGTAGCAGTGCAAGGCTGTTTTACAGATGGACATACTGGGACCCAGGGAGGACAATGACCCCAAGCCTCTGACCCTGGCCTGGCCAGTGCCTTGCCTTAGGGGCTTCCTGCAGGACTTGGATGGAGGACCCTAAGACCCCACCTCCTCAGGGAGCTCCCACCCCTATCCCACTGTGAGGAGTGACCCTTCTGACCAAGCTAGGAAACTGGAGTTGTGCTGCCTGGAAGCTACAGCTGATTTTCTCCCCAAGGCCAGCAAGTCTCCTCCCCGTCCGGGGTGGGCTCCCCAGCACCCTGCTTCTTCAGGTGACTACTCAGGTGTTACTGCTGGGTCCCCAGTGCCTTGCAGTTCTCTTCAACCAATACCCATAGGGAAGGAGGCACGTGGCCTGACACCTCCTCCATTCCCACCCAGGAATCCTCTGTAGCTTGGAGATCCTGGTCAGTGCCTGAGGGACAGGGACTGCCAGACATGGTCTCTGGTGGGCTGCTCAGGGTGCCAGTCCTCCTGGGGTGGGATGGGGGAGGGGCTGTGTGGTCCCCGAGTGAAACAGTGAGCAGGAAGACAGGGCTTCTCTTGAGGTGGGGCTCTGATACCAAGGCCTGGGCCCTGAGCAGATGGTCATGGGGTGAGGGAAGAGTGAGGAAGATGGTGGGAGTCTTGTGGGACAGGTGGGAAGGACAGGCCTAGGCTGAAACTCAGAGGGCTTCAGGGCCACGCAGAATCCATAATGTATAGTCGGGGAGGCAGAGGCGGTTGGGAGGGGTGAGGCTGGGGAGAACTCAGGGGCTTGGCTGCTGAACCATGATTGTCCTCTAACTCTCTTAGTAGGCATGTGGTTAGATTTCCAGGTAGAATTTAATTAACCATATCATATACATCAGAAGATACCACTGTTATTTAAATAGACCAAAACCCAAACCACACAAACCAAAAGGCTATTAGAAATGAAAAAGCAACGGATCTAGATGAGGTCCCAGTTTCTAGGGAGGCTGAGGGGGAGGTTCCCTTGAGCCCAGGAGGTTGATGCTGCAGTGAACCATGATCATGCCACTGCACTCCAGCCTAGGTGACAGGGTGAGACCCTGTCTCTAAAACAAGAAAGAATGAAAGAGCAATGCACATATATAGCACGTATTTCAAACAACACAGGTTTGATGTATTGATATGATGAAATAGCCTCACCTGAAGCTTTTGATACCTATATATTTATTTTATTTTATTTTATTTTATTTTTGAGATGGCGCCTTGCTCTGTTGTCCAGACTGGAGTGCAGTAGCACAATCTCAGCTCACTGCAACCTCCACCTCCCAGGTTCAAGCGATTCTTCTGCCTCAGCCTCCCAAGTAGCTGGGACTACAGGTGTGCACCACCATGCCCAGCTTATTTTTGTATTTTTTGTAGATATGGGGTTTCACTATGTTGGCCAGGTTGGTCTCGAACTCCTGACCTCAGGTGATCCACCTGCCTTGGCCTCCCAAAGTTCTGGGATTATAGGTGTGAGCCCCTGTGCCCGGCCAAGATTTTTGCAGATCTGACTAGAAGTATTTTATGCACTGTTTTTTTTTACCTGTTTCTTTGGCAAAAGAACATACACTTATATGCCCTTGCTTTTTCACTAAAAAACTCACCTGCTTACACACAAAAACGGAAATGAACCTTATGGACATTATACTTAGTGAAACAAGCCAGCCCCAAAGGACAAATGCTGTATGCTGCCACTCACAGGAGGTCCCTAGAGCATTCAGAGACTAAGTAGAACCGTGGTCACCAGGGCTAGGGGAGGGGGAATGGGGAGTTAGTGTTCAGTGGGGATGGAGGTTCAGTTTGGCCATGAGAAGAGTTATGAGATGGAGGGTGGTGATGGTCGCACAGCAATGTGAATGTGCTCAATGCCACTGAACCATACATTTAAATATAGTTAAGATGGTCAATGTTATGTGTATTTTATCACAATTTTAAGACTTGAAAGGAAGTTCATCTGTGGCTGGGTGCAGTGGCTCATGCCTGTAATCCCAGTGGGAAGGCTGAGGTGGGTGGATCATAAGGTCAGGAGATTGAGACCATCCTGGCCAATGTAGTGAAACCATGTCTCTATTAAAAATACAAAAATTAGCCGGGCGTGGTGGTGTGCGCCTGTAGTTCCAGCTACTTGGGCTGAGGCAGGAGAATTACTTGAACCCAGGAGGTGGAGGTTGCAGTGAGCTGAGATCGTGCCACTGCACTCCAGCCTGGGTGACACAGCAATACTCTGTTTCAAAAAAAAAAAAAAAAAAAAAAGGAGAAAAAAAAAAAAAAAAAAAAAAAAAAAAAAAGGCTGGGCACGGGGGCTCACGCCTGTAATCCCAGCACTTTGGGAGGCCAAGGCGGGTGGATCACAAGGTCAGGAGTTTGAGACCAGCGTGACCAACATGGTGAAACCCCGTCTCTACTAAAAATACAAAAATAAGCCAGGCGTGGTGGTGCATGCCTATAATCCCAACTACTCAGGAAGCTGAGGCAGGAGAATCACTTGAACCCGGGAGGTGGAGGTTGCAGTGAGTCGAGATCGCGCCACTGCACTCCAGCCTGAGTGACAGAGAGAGACTCTGTCTCAAAAAAAAAAAAAAAAAAAAAGAGAAAAAAAGAAAATTCATCTGTTCACGCACAAGTCTCATCCATACTTAGCCAAGTTCCTCGGAGGACCCTGGGGTTTTTTTCTAACATCTTTTGCAATTTCTGAATTTTTGTAATGGTTACTCTTATAAAATAAAATTTCAGAATGCTCTAAATTTATTAGGCCAAGGAGGAAGTTAAGCCGTGGCACCTGACGTACATAACCTGTTTGCAGTTCTGCTTCTTAGGGAGTAACCCTCCTCCGGAGGTTGCAGTGAGTCAAGATTGCACCACTGCACTCCAGCCTGGGCGACAGAGCGAGACCATCTCAGAAACAAAACCTCATTGTTCCTGCTCTGTGAATGACTGGGAGACCGGACACCAGAACTCCCACTTCCAATCACTAGACTTTGTTACAGATTAACTGCCTCTTTATTGTCCCATACCTAATTCAGAGCAGATGGCACCCAGGACCCCATGATAGTTGCATCTGCAGTGTGGAATGATAAATATACCTGTCCAGAGAGAAAAGGATCCCTTAGCAAGTCAGATCCTTGTAATGTGCATGCAGCCTTCCATAGAAGGATGCTGAAATTCTGCTAAACTTCCCAAAGCTTTGTCTAGATAAACAATCTTAAACTTCTATACTTTGGAACATGGACTTTCATTCTCTGGATCTCTGATTACCGGTGACCTGTCCTCAACTTTGTGCTTGGAGAAACTCTAAACATGATTCTGACTCTTTTGGTTATTTTAGCTTGATACTCTCTCATCACCAACTTTAGTGGGACTGCTTTCCCTACACCAGAAACTGTCACTCTAACAGGTCACAAAGGGCATCTCAGCTTTCATTTGCATTTCTTAATTCGGAAGAAACTGTGTGTCTTTTCGGATGTTAATTATCCATCTTCTTGCCTCATTCTGTTAGTATCCTTTGCCCATTTCTCTACTGAAGTGTTCTAGTTTCTAGATGATTCTTGAGAACCTTCATCTATTATATTGATGGACACTGGCTTGTCATATATGCTGAAAATAATTCTCCTTCAGCTAATTTGACTTTATCATTCATTTTCCTTGTATGGAAATTAAACTTTCACTTAAAGAAATGCTTTGGGGTTTAGTGTCTTGTTTAGAAAGGCATCTGCCACTGAAGTTTAAATATTTTTTAGAAAAAAATATTGTGTTTTCTTCTAGTATTTTAACATGATTTAATTTTTTAACTTAAAAAGTCTCTATTAAGGTATAAGTCTACTTTTATAATAATTCAGGAGAAATAGGAAAAGAATGAACTGGTTGTGAAACTTTCTCATAAAAAAGGATAAAATAGGCCAGGTGCGGTGGTTCACGCGTGTAATCCCAGCACTTTGGGAGGCCGAGGCAGGCGGATTACTTGAGGCCAGGAGTCCAACAACAGCCTGGCCAATATGGCAAAACCCTATCTGTACTAAAAATACAATAATTAGCCAGGCATGATGGTGCACCTGTAATCCCAGCTACTCTGGAGGCTGAGGCGGGAAGATCACTTGAACTGGTGAGGTGGAGATTGCAGTGAGCCGAGATTGCACCACTGCACTCCTGCCTGGGTGACAGAGTGAGACCCTGTCTCAGAAAAAAAAAAAGATAAAATACACTCGACTGGGCACTCCATTCATGTGACACGAGTTCCGAACATCAGAAGGTCCCTGTATCGTCTATCCATCGGAGTCTTTTGGGCTGTGTCCTGGGCCATTCTCTCTCCTTTCCTCCTAGGTGCCTCACCAGTGCCCATGGCTTCAGTTCCAGCCCCAGTGGATTTGCTGATGCCCTCATGTTTCCACCCACTCTCCTGAACTCTGGGCCTCCATCCACAGCAGCCTCTTCAGAGTCTCGGCCGGGAGTTTCCCACTGGACACTGACACTCACACATCGCCAACTGAGCTCCTGGCCTTCCCCCTCCTGCGGAACCTGCTCCACCCCTGGCCTTGGCCATCTCAGCAAACAGCACTGTGATGCACAGGTGTCACTGAGGAGACAAGGCATCCCCAACGCCCTCTTCTCCCTCATTCCATACCTGATCTCAGTCAGTCGCCAGATCCCACAGACTCTCTCCTGAGGAGCACTGGGCCCAGCCACCCCTGCCACCTGC